TTTGAAGTGTTTGGATCATTGAGGTTAGGAAGATGAAGAAGCTCTTCTTTCTTTTACGTTAATCGCGATGAGTGCGAGCGAGACACCAATCCCTCTGTATTGCTGGGTTGCATATAACAAAATTCGGCACACTAGCATAAAGCAATGGTTCAGAATCAGTTCGGAATTGAACTGTGCTTGCGCATTTGTTTATTCCGAACATACGTATATAAGCAAATGCGCAAGCGCAGTTCGATTCAGGACTGATTCTGAACTCTGAAGCCGAATTTCGTATCAAAATTTACTTCAGGTAAGGATAACCGACAGATAGATAGATGAATTGTCGCCGGCCCGAGTCTCGCCTTCTCTTTGTAAAAGTTAACATGAAGTTTCGATTACCCGATTTATAAAATGTCTGGCAACACTGCTACGACATCATTGTACTAGAGATGGGCAAAACTGCTATTTTCAAGTAGCAGTTAAAGCAGTTACCGCTTTTCCAAAGTAGCCAGCTATCAAATAGCTGCTTAAAGGAAACAGTTTATCCGGAACGATGCTCGTGGATATGGACTATGGACACCGTTGGTACTTGGTGTTGCGTATGCGCATGCAATCAAGCATGTTTCATTTTAGAACGTCTTTTCAGGTTCCAGCGCATTCTTTTTTACACTGGTTAATACACCGAAGAGCATTCTATCTTTGTCTAGTTCATGGGAAATCAAAATGACTCTCTCATAATGGTAGATACTCTGAAGAAAAAAAGATAAAACTACGAAGTAGGTTATGTTGTCACTTGTCGGCAGCAGCTTTTTTCAAAATTGAGTAACCAGTGATAGCTCCTTCAGCAAAATAACTGTTAAAATATAACAGCTTACGCGATAGCGACCCATCTCTACATTGTACTTTGTGCATCTCTGGGACGGCAGTCGGCACGGTCCATGTGTTTTTATTTTCTGAATTTGAATATTCCACCTGGCATATTTTTATACTTTGCGAACTTTGGGACCAGGCAGGCATTGGAAAGCAACGGCTTTGATCGGGCAGGCAGTCAGAAATGTACTTCTAATGCCTTTATTAACTGTGATATATTCAATTTTCACTCGAAACGCGATGAGTCGAATTTTGAAAAAACTTTCCATCGATTTTTATTTGACAGGCGCCATTTGGCAACTGATTTAGGTACACAAGACAGGCATTCGAAATCATACCTACTTGGGGTTGTTTGTTCTATGTTCACACAAATTTTCATGCAAAACGCGATGAGTCGGTTTTTGCTATCACAAAACCTCGTTAAAATTTTTTTTATTAATAAACGCAACCGATACGAGCAGGCAGGCACGCGATTTCGTATTGTTCATGATTGTTCACTTCCTAAAATTTTCAGCCATAATGAAATCAGCCGGAAATTTTTTCACTGGCTCTTGTACTATAAAGCTAAAGCCGCGACTCCATAGCAGCGTACGCTTTATTATGGATGGATACGAAAAAAAACAAGGTCTATAAACCTAGCAGTCCCAAGGTGGAAAAAAACTTCGGGAACTATATAATAATTAGGTGCTTTTTAGGTGCTAATTAGGGCCTCTAATTAAAAATTAGGTGCTCCTCTGGTTTTTGAGAAAATCAAAAAAAAAAAAAATATTTTGCCAAAATGTTCTTTTGTATCAGAATTAGGTGCTTTTTAGGTGCTCCTAAATAGTAGAAGAAAAAATAGAATTGATTGATTATTAACTGAGTTACAGATTTTTTTTTTAATTATTAGGGGACTACTAGCATTCATAAACCCTAGCAGTCCCTTACTTTTTCTCGAGGTTTTTCTTGATTTTCTCAAAAACTAAAGGAGCACCTAATTTTCAATTAGAGGCCCTAATTAGCACCTGAAAATCACCTAATTATTATATAGATCCAGAAGTTTTTTTGCCATTCTGACACACCAACAAGTAGACGTAAAGCCAGCAGTCCCCTAATAATTTAAAAAAAAATCTGTAACTTAGTTAACAATTAATCAATTCTATTTTTTCTTCGACTATTCAGGAGCACCTAAAAAGCACCTAATTCTGATTAAAAAAGAAAATTTTAGAAAAATATTTTTTACTATAGGGAACTACTAGCTTTCATAAACCTAGCAATCCCTTAGTTTTTTTTTATTTTCTCAAAAACTAGAGGAGTACCTTATTTTTAATTAGAGGCGCTAATTAGCACCTAAAAAGCACCTAATTATTATATAGATCCCGAAGTTTTTTTGGAAAAATATTTTTCACTAATAGGGGACTAAGCTTTCATAAACTTAGCAATCCCTTAGTTTTTTTTTGTGTTTCTCAAAAACTAGAGGAGCACCTAATTATTATATAGATCCCGAAGTTTCTTTGCCATTCTGACACACAAATAAGTAAACGTAAAGCCAGCAGTCCCCTAATAATTAAAAAAAAATCTGTAACTCAGTTAATAATTAATCAATTCTATTTTTTCTTGGACTATTTAGGAGCACCTAAAAAGCACCTAATTCTGATACAAAGAAAAAATTTGAAAAAATATTTTTTACTTTAGGGGACTGTTAAGCTTTTAATAAACCTAACAGTCCCTTAGTTTTTTTTGATTTTCTCAATAACTAAAGGTTAAAGGAGCACCTAATTTTTAGTTAGAGGCCTTAATTAGCACCTAAAAAGCACCCAATTATTAAGGCCGTTTTACAGCTTGCAATTCTATCTGCAATATGCAAGAAACTTGAACGAAGGCATGCGCAGAAGTGAATCAGCTGATTGTTTTCTGCAACATTCTTGAAACTTGAATGGAGTTGCATGCAATCGGTTTGGTGCCATTTTTCTTGAAGGTTTTCGCGCAAGCTGAGGAATTTTTAGCAATTATGAGGTTTAAAGTGGCTGCTATTGCTTTCTTCTTTTCATATGGACTTATATAATCACTTTTTTCCATTTTTGGAAAATGCAAACATCATAACACAAAATTAAAAACAAAAAAGTTTGGTCAAGGTTAGAGAAGGAAAAAGTCAAATTGCAAGGTGTAAAACGACAAGCAAGAAATCTTGAATGCAATTTTTTTGCATGCAAATAATTTCATTCAATTTTTCTTGCAAGCTGTAAAACGGCCTTTATATAGTTCCCGAAGTTTTTTTCCACCTTGGGACTGCTAGGTTTATAGACCTAAAAAAACAGGGTGTTTTTATCTTTTATTATTTGCGGATGTCTTCAATATTCTAGGGTGGTTAACGGCACTCAACGACCAAAATACTTATTACGTTTTATGCACATCGGATTCTTCCAGTTCAAAAATAAAAAAACTATTATAAAATACCTATAATGGCATCCATTTGACAGTTTTCAAAAATAAACAGTCTTTGTCATTTATTGTATTCCTTTTATACATCGAGTTACGCCAAACTAGCTCCTCGGAGTCACTTCAAAACACACAATTCGGATTTTATCATTAATTTTTAAAATTAACATCACCGTCATTACCTAAAAGGGCTTCTTGCACCCCCCGCAAATTTGGTGCATCAGGGGAAAGGGGGATGCACTATGAGCGACTCGAGTGCTTAACGCACTTTTAAAAGGAACGTTCAAGCTTTTGACATTGAGCAGCTCCGAGTAACTCAACGGGTAAAAGGAACACAGTAATTGCAGTCTTCCTCTTTATATAAAGGCGCTTTTCCACTGAAAAATTGACAACTTCTGTATTTGCAAATCTTCCAAAAATCAACAACTTTTATATTTTTCATGGTTATCCACACCGATTTTGGTAATAATACTGTATTCTATCTATCATAATAAAATGCGCACTTATTTCGGACTCACCCTGTATAAACTGAAAATGTCACTTTCTCACGTGCGGTAAAGTGCACTTTACGCCCGAGGTTAGTAATAATTTCCTGCACTAGTGCCGTAAATTTAGTTTTTCACACGGTTTCTAGAAATATTCATAATTAATCATTCTACAGTGCCCGCGGAAAAGTCTGCACCATATGGGAAATTTTTTTATGCTCATCCTTACTTCAAATCGGTTTTTGGCATTAGGTTCTGCATGACTGAAAACCAAAAAAACACCTAAAATTTTTGACTTGAGACTTGCCTCACACCTGTCAAATGCCATTTGAAAATTTCAAACAAGGAAAAGTGGCATTTTTATGAAAAATATCAAAAAATTTTATAAGAAAATATTGTTCCAAATGACATTTAGAGTCTCATTTGATATTTTTGCTTTGAAAAAAAATATATATTTTTTTTAAAATTTTTTTTCAAATATCTACGGAAAAATAATATTTTTAGGATTTCTTTCGCAACCATTCCTCTAAAATAATTAGTTTGTATCTGACTAATGGTTTTTTAAATCCTAATAATCTAATTAAGAGTTTAAACATCAAAAAGAAATATTTCTATTAAAATCTTGATACGCCTCTGGACTATTTTAAAAATTGTATGCTTTGAAATATATTTTTTTTCATAGCAAAAATAACAAATTAGACTCTAAATATCATTTGGAACAATATTTTCTTATAAAATTTTTTCATATTTTATATAAAAATGCCACTTTTCCTTCGTTTGAAATTTTCAAATGGCATTTGACAGGTGTGAGGCAAGTCTCGAGTCAAAAATTTTAGGTGTTTTTTTGGTTTTCAGTCATGCAGAACCTAATGCCAAAAACCGATTTGAAGTAAGGATGAGCATAAAAAAATTTCCCATATGGTGCAGACTTTTCCGTGGACACTGTATAGCTTCTATGAAAAAACTGCGAGACAATATACCTATATCTAAAATTTGTATTTGTCTCTTCCACTTTTTCTTTTTCCCTATTACGCAATTTTATTTGCTCCTTCTTTCAAATCTTGATGCACTTTGATAATTTGCAGGTAATTTGAAAAAGCAAAAATCTAACAATAAAACGCACTTGAACGTTTTTCGATTTAATTTTTTTTTTTTTATAATTTCATAACACAATTTTCTATACTGTTTTATGGTTATATAAATAATATGTTACAACTTATTAAAAAAAAAAATGGAAATAAAATCAAACAAAAAGTACATACAAACAAGACGATACACAAATATAATGCAGCTCAATCAATCTTGGAACACAATGTTTTTAGAATTGGTTTTTATTTAATAATAATTTCTGCTATGAAGTATTTATGTTACACTAATTTTTACAAAGTATTTTACAATAATTAGTTAAATACCTAGTTAAATCTACTTAAAAATTAACAACAATACTATGTACAATATCGCTTTAAAATATAATAATAACAATAGTATTTTAAGAAAATCCACTGCCCGCCTAATTATAATTAACCATGTAAAAAAGAGAGAATTTAGAATAATTGTAACATTTTTAATAATTATGTATATTTTATTCAATTGCGTGTCGAAAAAAATGGGAAGTCTAAAAATGTAAATAAAATTGATTTACTTTGTACTCTAATGTGGAATAGAGATCATGAACATTTAAAATTTTATGCCAATCAATATAATTTTCAACTTATTTTGCAAAAAAAAAACAAAACCTGTCTTATAGTAATCAGTCTCATTTGAATAATTTGCACTGGCTAACTTGTAATATCGTTTTGAAACTCAACAATCAAATTAACGTCTGGCAAAAGACATTAAAATGATATTCATTCTATGGTTGAATTTTTATAATGCAAATTGCAGAGAGCTGATCATATAAAAATTAACTATAGAATCCTGGGTCCCGGGACATTATTATAATTTCTTTGTCAAATCCTTCTAGTATTTTATAATAAACATTTTAATTAACAACAGAAAAATTAGCTACCTAAATTAGTATGTATGTGTATGTTTCATTTTGAATTTTTATTTGAAATTTTTTTTTTATATTATTACAAAAGGCAATGATATTCTTTAACTGAAAAATCGCTGGTAACAAAATAGAGTATTTTGCTAAATAAAAATGCATTTGCAATTCTTCACCACTCACTCAATCACGACTATATTTATATCACCTTGAGGTATTTTTTTAAGTATTTCAACATTCAATTGTCGAAACTTGGTGATAATACTGTCAGATAAAAATTAAGTCCCTGGAAAGCTCTAAATGAGTTGGAGATTGTATAGCCCACACTACAACGAATGTGGAAGTTTAATAAAGGATCCAATTGTAGGAAAGGAAAGCTATCCATTTTCTTAGATAAATTGTGTGATGTTCTGAGTGGTCCCTAATATCACCAAGAATGCATAATACCGTTCACACACAACAACCTTGACTTCTATTAGTTAAATCTCATCTAAAATTTTCAACAAAATAAAAATATTGTTAATAATAATTAATTATACTAATAATAAATAATATATCTCATTAGGAAACAAGTCTATACATCCAAGTTACTATGCTACCTATTTACAAGATTATAGCCTATTTTTTGGAAAGAAGAAATAGAGCAGGAAAAATATTGTGAGGGAAATAGTCCTGACAAATAAAAATCAATTGTGCAAAATTTTATAAAAAGTTCTTCCCATTATCCTCACAGCCATAGCATAAAAATCACTTATAAAGTGACTTGAGTCAAGTTTTCCTTCTCTACTTCGATAACCCTAAACGCTCGCTCACTCATTCAACTTCGTAGCTGTCATCTTCATCTGTGGGAGAAATTAAATAGTCATAAGTAGCCCGATGTTAAGCGGACGCTTCTCTATAAAATGGATTTGCCCCTTTGATGGGTAGAGGATGGGCTTCTGTATTATATACCCAATGGTCCAGTGAGAAGAAGTTGTCGTCGGAGAATAGGAGATATAAGTACTGTAAAAGTTTTAATGTTTAAATGGGAATTTTATTATTTACAATTACCTTTAATGTTTCAGCTAAGAAGAAACTCTGCTGGACGTCATCTTGTTGCGGGTCCTCTGAATATACATTTTTAAGGCCCGTGTATCCACCAGGTACTCTGCAATGTTTTTCTAGAGCCTAAAAAAATTACACTTTTAGATATTAGCTAACTAAAAATAATAGCAATAAAATTTGAAACTGAGTTGCACTTGATGTGGTTTAAAAATAATAAGATTAATTCCTCTGCTCACCTGTACAGCTTCCCATCCCCAATCCCTATATTTTTCATCTTTGGTTAATCTATACAAATAAAAATAGGATTCAATCGTTTCTGGCCGAAGAATATAGTATTTTTCAGAACTTTTCAATGCTCTAGCTTCGGCGCCCTCAGTAAATCTACAATTTAAAAATTACAGAATATATTGTATTGATTCAAAATGCAAAAATTCCTACCTAAACGCCTCTGGTCCCAATTTAGTATAAGTCCTATCATAAGATTCGTGACAAGTATTTGTGATTTGTTTAGCAATGTCCATATATCTAGCAGAATGATCATCTTTCAACGTTCTAGAGGCCAAAGCTAACATGCCACCTGAGAAACAGGCCAAATGATCCATTTTATGTTCCACCCTGTCAAACTTAAGATCAGCAAAGTAAGTCAAACCAGCTGGTGATTGGTGTAGCATATGCTTCATTGCAGCCTCCATTGCTTCATCGAACATTTGCCTGGCTTCGTTGTCTTCCTTGCCACTCAAAAGCCAAGCTTTTAGGAGGTACTCGTAGAAACTGTCACCAAGGGCACCCATTGACATATGATCTATTAAAACAAAGATTTATATTTTTATATTAATTATTTGTTTTCGCACTTACGCTGGCCCCATTTTCCGCTTCTGGGATTCAAATAGTTAGGATACAATCCATTAGGTTTTTCTATTGTGTTCAATACGTGTCGAATTTTATCTACTTTATTTCTATAAATAGTTTTGCCAGTAATATCACTGAGGTATGAAAATTCCAAATGCAAAGTACCAAACTCTGATAGGATGCTAGAACTGCCACTTGCCCAACCGTAATTTTTGCTTGACTAAAAAAAAAACAACCATGTTAAATACAAAACAAGTTAATTTATTTATGTAGTTGTTCCTGCAAGCTAAATAAATTATTACTTACTCCAGTCTTAAAGTTAACTAAAGCGTTCGGAATTCCAGTTGGAGTATTAAACGCTGGCAATAACTTGTCGGCAATTTTCTGAGCTTTATCCCTGAACACTGTATCGCCAGTCAAAGCGTAGCAAGTCAATAATCCCCCAATGAACCGGATATTCACTTCAAATACGGAAACGTCCGCTACCTGCAATAGAAAGAAAATTTACATTTAAGAATATTAATCATGAAAAAAACACAACCAGCCGCGAGCCTCTGGGGCATTTCCCAAACCCCATAAATCAATCCCGATGTATAATAGAGAAGAATAGCCTGCAGGAAAATAGGGCGGAGATAAATTGCATCGGGTGTACGGAAGAAGGTAAAAATAATCAAATTACGGGGTTTGCTTTTTATTTTCAGGGCGTAATGGGGGGGTTGTCTTAAGGAATAAGATCAGATTGAATAAATGGGGGATGGGATAAGATTACAAAGGAAACGCTTCGGGAAAAAGTTATTGTTAGGTGTTGTATGTAGAAACGACTAGGATAAATGTTAATGGGTCTAGATTAGATAGGCATAAGTGCAACTAGGCTCCAAATTTGAGGGGTGCTGCAGCACCATTTTTTTTTTATGGGGTTTTACAGAAAGGAAATGAGACGCGTAAAAAAAAGTTAGTTTCACGAGGGTTTGTACTTTCCTCATCATTTCCCTTTTTTTATGAAAAATAGGTTTTTTTATCTCTGAATTTCAAACAAACATACATATAATTCGTTGCACGGCACGAAGGTTTTTACTTACGTCATCGATGACGTCATATCTTAGAGAAAAAATTAAGTCATAGATTAATAATAATTCATAGAGCACCTTCGGAATTATTGTTTTGTAATACATTTTTTAACTAAGAATAGATTTTATTTGCAACCATATATGTAATCTTGACATTACTGACTTTTCAAAAATTTGGAAGTGTCACTTTACTGGTGTCACTTCCCTCTTCGATTTCCCTCACCGATTTCCCTATTCGACTTCCCTCACCGATTTCCCTCACTCTAATTTATTCACCTTTGCTGGCAACAATGAGAACATGTCAGGTGAAAACGTCAAAACAGTGAATGACACATTTTGGCAGTTTGTTTTATTTTTTCAATAATAAAAAAATTAAATGACTAATCATAATGAATGGTGTGCTTGCAAATAAAATAGTATACAAACCTCGGAGGAAAGTTTTCATTTCTGGCTCGAGATTAATAGTCAATCTCTCGACAGTAATGAAACACTTCCCTACTCGGTATGTAATATACTATTATTCAGTTATCCGAAAATATATAAATAAACTTCTCCTGGAATGATTTTTCACCGGAAAATTTCGAAATTTTCCTCTAATGAGCTCCTCACTTTCCTCTTTCTCCTGTAAAAATTTCAAAATTTTCCCCTTGCCAGTTTTCCAGAAAAAAAATAAAATGTAAGAGGATGAATTTTCCTTAAGTTTGCCTAAATAAGTCAATTTTCTTTGAATTTTTCCTGGAGTGATTTTTCACTGGAAAATTTCGAATTTTTCCTATAATGAGCTCCCCACTTTCCTCTTTTTCCTGGAAAATTGTCAAAGTTTTCCCTCTGCCGGTGTTCCAGATTAAAAATTAAAATGTAAAAGGGTGAATTTTCCTTAATTCTGCTTAATTAAGTCATTTTTCCAGAATTTTTTATGGAGTGATTTTTCATTTAAAAATTTTAAAATTTTGCTATAATGAGCTCTTTACTTTCCTCTTTTTTCTGGAAAATTTTCACAATTTTCCTTTGGCCAGTTTCCCGGAAAAAATTAAAATGTAAGAGGATGAATTTTGCCTAAAAAAGTCAATTTCCCAGAATTTTTCCTGGGGGGATTTTCCACTAAAAAATTTTGAAATTTTCCTATGATGAGCTCCTCACTTTTCTCTTTCTTCTAGAAAAATTTCACAATTTTCCCTTTGCCTGATTTTTAGAAAAAAATTAAAATGTAAGAGTGAATTCTCTTTAATTTTGCTTAAAAAAGTTAGTTTTTCAAAATTTTTTCTGGAGTGATTTTTCATTGAAAAATTTTGAAACTTTCGTAAAATGAGCTCCTCATTTTCCTCTTATTCCTGGAAAATTTTCAAAATTTTCCCTTTGCCAGTTTTCCAGAAAAAAATCAAAATGTAAGAGGTGAATTTTCTTTAATTTTACTTGAAAAAGTCAATTTTTCAGAATTTTTCCTGGAGTGATTTTTTACTGGAAAATTTTGAAATTTTCCTATAATGAGCTCCTCACTTTCCTTTTTCTTTTGGAAAAATTCTACAATTTTTGCTTTGCCAGTTTTCCAGAAAAAAATTGAAATGTGAAAGAATGAATTTTGCTTAAAAAAGTCAATTTTCCAGAACTTTCCTCTCGACTTTCCTTGGAGTGACTTTTGAAAATTTTGAAATTTTCCTATAATGAGCTCCTCATTTTCTTCTTTCTCCTGGAAAAATTTCACAAGTTTTGCTTTATTAGTTTTCCAGAAGTAAATTGAAATGTGGGAGGATGAGTTCTTCTTAATTTTACTTAAAAAAGTCATTTTTTAAGAATTTTTCCTGGAGCGATTTTTTATTGAAAAATTTTGAAATTTCCTTATAATGAGCTCCTGACTTTCCTCTTTTTCCAGTTTTCCAGAAAAAAATAAAATGTGATTTTTCTCAATTTTTCTTGAAAAAGTCAATTTTCCAGAATTTTCCCTGGAGTGATTTCTCAATGGGAAATTTCGAAATTTTCCTATAATGAGCTCCTTACTTTCCTCTTTTTCCTGGGAAATTTTCAAAGTTTTCCCTCTGCCAGTGTTCCAGAAAAAAATTAAAATGTAAGAGGGTGAATTTTGCCTAAAAAAGTCAATTTCCCAGATTTTTTCCTGGAGTGATTTTCCACTGGAAAATTTTGAAATTTTAGTATAATGAGCTCCTCACTTTTCTCTTTTTTCTGGAAAAATTTTACAATATTCCCTTTGCCTGATTTCTAGAAAAAATTTAAAATGTAAGAGGGTGAATTCTCCTCAATTTTGCATAAAAAAGTTAGTTTTTCAAAATTTTTTCTGGAGTGATTTTTCATTGAAAAATTTTGAAATTTTCGTAAAATGAGCTCCTCATTTTCCTCTTATTCCTGGGAAATTTTCAAAATTTTCCCTTTGCCAGTTTTCCAGAAAAAAATTAAAATGTAAGAGGTGAATTTTCCCTAATTTTACTTGAAAAAGTCAATTTTTCAGAATTTTTCCTGGAGTGATTTTTCACTGGAAAATTTTGCAATTTTCCTATAATGAGCTCCTCATTTTCTTCTTTTTCCAGGAAAAATTTCACAAGTTTTGCTTTATTAGTTTTCTAGAAATAAATTGAAATGTGAGAGGATGAGTTTCTCTTAATTTCACTTGAAAAAATGATTTTTTTCAAAATTTTTCCTAGAGCAATTTTCCATTGGAAAATTTTGAAATTTTCTTATAATGAGCTCCTGACTTGCCTTTTTTTTCTCTTTTGCCAGTTTTCCAGAAAAAAATTGAAATATGAACAGGACGAATTTTCCTTAATTTTACTTGAAAAAGTCAATTTTTCAGAATTTTCCCTGGAGTGATTTCTCACTGGAAAATTTCGAAATTTCCTTATAATGAGCTCCTCACTTTCCTCTTTTTCTTGGAAAATTTTCAAAATTTTCCCTCTGCCAGTTTTTCAGAAAAAAATTAAAATGTAAGAGGATGAATTTTCCTTAATTTTGCTTAAATAAGTCAATTTTCCAGAATTTTTCCTGGAGTGATTTTCCACTGGAAAATTTTGGAATTTTCCTATAATGAGCTCCTTACTTTTCTCTTTCTTCTGGAAAAATTTCACAATTTTCCCTTCGCCAGATTTCTAGAAAAAAATTAAAATGTAAGAGAATGAATTCTTTTTAATTTTGCTTAAAAAAGTTAGTTTATCAAAACTTTTCCTGGAGTGATTTTTTACTGGAAAATTTTGGAATTTTCGTTAAATGAGCTCCTCATTTTCCTTTTATTCCTGAAAAATTTTAAAAATTTTCCCTTTGCCAGTTTTCTAGAAAAAAATTAAAATGTTAGAGGTGAATTTTCCTTAATTTTACTTGAAAAAGTCAATTTTTCAGAATTTTTCCTGGAGTGATTTTTCACTAGAAAATTTTGAAATTTTCCTTTAATGAGCTCCTCACTTTCCTTTTTCTTTTGGAAAAATTTTACAATTTTTGCTTTGCCAGTTTTCCAGAAAAAAATTGAAATGATGAATTTTGCTGAAAAAAGTCAATTTTCCAGAACTTTCCATGGAGTGATTTTTCACTAGAAAATTTTGAAATTTTACTATAATGAGCTCCTCATTTTCCTTTTTCTCCTGGAAAAATTTAACAAGTTTTGCTTTATTAGTTTTCCAGAAATAAATTGAAATGTGAGAGGATGAGTTTTTCTTAATTTTACTTGAAAAAATCATTTTTTTCAGAATTTTTCCTGGAGCGATTTTCCATTGGAAAATTTTGAAATTTTCTTATAATGAGCTCCTGACTTTCCCTTTTTTCAATGTGAGAGGAAGAATTTTCTTTAATTTTACTTGAAAAAGTAAATTTTCCAGAATTTTTCCTGGAGTGATTTCTCACTGGAAAATTTCGAAATTTCTCTACATATAATGCGCTCCTCACTTTCCTCTTTTTCTTGGAAAATTTTCAAAATTTTCCTTAATTTTGTTCAAATAAGTCAATTTTCCAGAATTTTTTATGGAGTGATTTTTCATTCGAAAATTTTAAAATTTTGCTATAATGAGCTCTTTATTTTCCTCTTTTTCTGGAAAATGTTCACAATTTTCCTTTTGCCAGATTTCTATAAAAAAATTAAAATGTAAGCGGATGAATTCTTTTTAATTTTGCTTGAAAAAGTTGGTTTTTTAAAACTTTTCCTGGGGTGATTTTTTACTGGAGAATTTTGAAATTTTAACATATTTGAGATTTCAGTCATAAAAAATAAACAAAGAATCACCCTTTGCCGTTTGTACATGATATTTAGGAACACCCTGTATAATATGAAGTTAATTAATTTATATATTTGGGACTCCAACGATTTTTTAAGGGCCAGTATTTCAATGTTACCTTAAGATATAGAATAAACATAGACATTGACAACATTGTCTGACCTTGTCTGATGACGTCATCCTAAATATAACATAAAAATCATATAGTTTAGGGTAAGTCTTGATTTTAAGGTAATATGTATTGTAATACCGGCCCCGGTTGGAAAATTTTATTCCATAACAATAATAATTGCGAACGTGCTCTATGAATTAATCAACGACAAATACTTTTTTCTAAATTATGACGTCATCGATGACGTAAGTAAGTACAAAAAGTGCAAAAAAAATAAATAATTTGGTTGCATTAATTTTTTATATTAATGTTAGGTAGTGCCACTGTAGGTAAGTAGTGCAATGGTGGAATGCCGAATGGGAGTGCTAATTTTTGCTTTAAGGGTGCTTAGTACCCCCTTGTTGTTGCGCCTATGTAGATAGGTGAAAATTATAAGTTGGAAATTAATAGAAAATCCAAGAACTTGGATACTTAATTAAATCAACATTAGCCTAAATGCATCCCAATCAGATCCTAACGTCAAAACGTAACTGATTTATTCGATTCCACAATCAGATTTTTCCATAAATCATGGTCTCGAGAGGCAGCGACTACGAAACGCCCCATCAAATAACCATGACAAAGAACAAAGACGAAGATCGGTAGCCGAGCAGGCTAATGTTTTCGCAATTTGTCTATTTCCGCTCAAGCGGATCCGGCCAACGAAAGGATACTCTTAGAAATATTTGTGTGCAACCGACCGTGCAAAAAACAAGACGTCTAATATAAATTATTGTAATAAATGATTATCCTTACCACACTGTCAATATCAAATTCCTTCACAACCCAATCTCTGGCTTGTTTGAATTCCTCGTTCATTCCCATAATGTAGAGGGTATCCAAACCATCCAAAATTGAAGCTCCTAGTGGTTGAGTACCAAATATACTACCAGTGTGTCCGCGTTTCGATACAGGTTTCAATTCGTTTTTGGCCCAGGCAAAACGGACGTAGTTGTCCCAGGCATGTTTCATCATCTGAAAAAAAAAACTAGCATTGAAAACAATCCAATCTTAATCAAAAACAGTAAAAACCAACCTCTTTAACTTTCAACCTCCTTAAATCATTATCAAAAACACTCTCGAGACTCATATTCCCTTTCCAATGCGCATCATCCACCTTAACATCAACCCCCAACTTTTTATTATTACTCTCTTTATCTTCACCACTACTAAAGGTTTCCCAAGAATCGTAATCAATATCTTCAAGGTCCGATGCATTAAAAGAAATTGCCGACATGTTGGGCGCTACATAAACATTTATTGTCGGCTTGACCACTATTGTTGTACTATTATCATCCGTTATTGTTAAGTTAGATTCAGATGATATACTTATCAATTTGCTCAACATGGGCGAATCGGATACAATGTTTGTGGGTGCTGGTGATGTTTGGTAGGTGGTGATTTTGATTACTTGCATTTCTGACGACGATGCTCTGGGGTGTCTGCTTAGGTACACGGCGGTGCAAGCCATTACCAGCAGAGTGCTACCGACACCGGCGCCTATTAAACGAGAAAAACTAATGGTGAGAAGATGCTTTTTTATATTGTGGTTGTGGTAAATGGAAAAAGCAATCAATCGATAGATGTCAAGGATCTTGAATTTGTTTATATAGGTGATAAGAAATTAAGATCGGATGATCGGAATATCACTGACACTCATTAGAAATAATGTTATTATTAATTCCAATTACTACTAAATACACTTTATCGTTTTGTGTGATAATATTCTTTTCATTCAACTAGGAGCTGATTACTGTAGGATGATTTATCGTTTTACATGATACGGTCGTGATTTTGTTTCAACAACTCATTAAGGAATTGGCGTTTTTCCACAACTATACAAACCTTTTCCCATTACTTTATGACTCTTCTGTGATGTTTGCAGAGCCTTGATGAAATTCAAGAATTAATTAGCGTGCGGAGCATAATTAATGTTTGCTTTTGGTTTAAGTTTAAAACAACGTGAGAATGTTTTAAGTAAATATCAGTCGGTAAATAAAAGAAAATGAGTGCCTTTTTGTAAAGTTGAAATTTCTAATTTATGATCCTAAAATAATATTTATTATTACAGCACATGAAGTAAACATTTAATACGATTGAAGTTATTAATGATTAAGATTAGGCTCAATAAAGCTTCTTCCATTATACCAGCACCGCAATCATTATTATCATTCCCAAACATCATTAATCTCACCTGCCGCTCTATACATTTTGCTTATAAAACAACGCGCTGTATCACAGAAATTATTTTTTTAAAAATCACTACTAATCACAAAAAATACAGGATTGCACAAAGACTCTTCTAAAACTCTAAACTGTCTTGTATATTTTATTGAAAGTCGCCGACCAGCGAGCTTGAGAAGCTTAACACCGACTGGCAAACAATCGAGCGTTGCCTTGCACGAAGAAAGGAAGACAGTAATAAACTGACTCGGAATCGGAGAAGAAAAAGAGGAATCAGGAGAACACACACATGGTAATGCTAAAAGTCGTCATCTGCTGATGGATGCACGGCTTATCAGAGAGTTTTCGGCGTGATAATGATTTCGGCGGCTAGTGGGGTGTTGTAATATTCTATTTTATATACTGATTAATTATTATTGTAAAAATAAGTAGGTATAACCAATGCAGTGATTTTAAGTGATGGAATACCATAATGATTTTTCTAATACACCTGTGGTGTAGAAATTCGCTTTGGACAATGTTAACAAATTCTTATAAACAATAAAATGCTGAAAAAGTTTTGAAGAAAGGTCGACGCTCTTGAAATCAAACGAAAACAATGGCCTTTGTTTCTCCACTATATCCCACACTGTTTATTTTTTATGAGGATTTGGATTTCGAAAATACACAACACATAACAGTTAATTCAGCCATCACAAAATGCCTATAAGTAATGTATGAATATTGTTCCTCTAGTTGGTAATTTCTCTGTCGAGACTGTTTTTGAATTGTAGGGCAACTGTTCCCGAATTCACAATTTCTCCTTTCAAATGAGTCCAACCAACCTCTGTTGGTTAGAAAGCTTCTTGTTGCTGCACCATTACTTCAATACCTTTTTGTTGTGTCTTCGTTTAGTTAAAGTTGAAGTAACAAACGCTTATTTTGTAACAAACGCTTATTTTGGAAGAATCATTTTTTTTTTGTAGATCTTCTAGGCACTGATTTCCCATGTTTTTATTATTTGATGCTAGTAGCCCATTATCTACATATAAAGACAAGATAAGCATTCCATTTTCTTGCTCCTCAATTATTAAACAAGGATCTGCATCGCTTCAGGCTGTATTGAAATCAAACTTTGTCAATGAATCCACTAGCAGCAATGTTAATCACCAATTGAAAACACCTTTGCAACCAGACTGAAAGATTGGTCAAAGTCTTCACCTGGTTTTTGGTGCTTTTTTATGAACAATTTTGCCTTATACTTTTCTACAGAGCCATCTGGATTATAAATTCATTTAGAAGATATAGCTTTTCTTCCTGCAGGTAACTTTTATCCAAAATCCAAGTACCATTTGATATATGGGCGTCCATTTCTTTATCCATGGTAATTTTCCATTGGTCTTTTTAACCGTAAATATATTGATTAGCTTTTATGATTTTATATTGCTCAGGGCCGGAGTGCATGAATTTTTCTTGAGTCATGAGTGCTGTAACATTTAATTGACATTATTATATATTATAGGTTTTCGTGATTAAATGTACACCGACCTTGATCACGTAAGGTATTTTGAGTTACACCCTTGACAACGCTAAAATTGAAGGTAATCAATATCAAATTTTTAAACTTATTATTAATATTTTCTGCGTCTATCGGCGTTTAAGCTGAAATAATATAATTTTCTGGTATTGTTAAAACGTGCTCATACTGATTAAATATTTTTGGGAATTTAATTATATATTTTTTTTTCTGGCAACCCGCTATTTTCGATCTGCTATGCGAATGGTAACTTTTGATGATCCTTTTTCTTGTAACCGGTAATCAATCTACATTGGAAATTGGGCTTTCTTATATAGGTTACTGGCGCCCATAATTTAATTTAATTCCTGTGATTCTGAGTTTGAACCGCACGACCACTCCCGAGCTGCGCTAGCCCAGCATTCCGTTATCCACCTTACCGTACTTTCTCCCTTTAAACTGCTGAAGCCGTTTAAGGGCGGAAATTGCGTGGCAAATTTTGGCGCCCAACGTGGGGCACTCTGGACGGAACAAAAAGGCGAAAACCCTCAAATCCAGCTGGTTTAAACAGCCGCAGCAAATCGGCACCAAAACGGCAATAGAACAAAACGCACCACCAATTCGCTGTTGAACCACCACGGTCAATTTATCCCTTTCAATAAGGCTTGCACAAAATATTTGCAAATTTCGTAACTATGATGGCGTGGTTCTCTGGCTTTCTGTCTCCGAATTTTCGAGAGTGATGACCACTTCCTGATTTGGTCGGTTCCCGTCCAGTGGAGAGGGAATAGGGGAAATTTTCAAATATGCCCCAGCGGGAAAACCCAACTTTTCCGCGACGTCACCCACAGACTATTCAACTATATACTGAATACCTCAATATAAATCATCCGACAGGAATCTCATAGCCTCATAAAGTGTTTATTTATAAATTCAAAAATATTTAAAGAAATACGAAAATTCGACAGTACGGAATAGGAACCCATTCCACGGTGGTACTCCCAAAATGGTCGATGGCCGGATCATGCGTAGCAGAACCTACCAAACCCATCGGGCCGAAATATCCTTATCTATAAGGTCTATAATACAAAAATTGGTACTCGATTGTTGCAATTTAATAAATCACCAACCAAATTCGCACAGTACAGAACCGGCTCAGCCGTTTAACGCTATGGATTATTGTCGAAATTCTTAAAACTAACAAAAATTAACAAGGACAATTTTAAACCGTTACAAGTTAAAAGTATAATTGATGCGACTGTCATTGCGTGATCTTTCCCAGCAGATATTTCCATAAAACTCTGAAGCCATACTTTCAGTGTCCTCATTATCTTCTATTCTTTTCTCTTCTGAGTCAGAACATTCTTGTTTTAAACTATATTCTGCATAGTTGTTTTCTGAAGGAACTTCTTTATTAATTTCTGCTCAACTTCTTTCGTCAAGATTAGGAAGTGATGTGACCTCAGGATTTGCAAAACGTTTTACATCTAAAATAACATTTCTGGATCTGATTTATTACTTTGTAATTAAACATCAAATTCGGTAACCTTTCATTATCATCATAATCATATCCTTCAAGAATGCCTTTGACAGCCTTTTTGTCTAGCTTTCTTCTGTTTGGTTAAGGCATACGAGAATAACACATATTTCCGATTACAAAAAGATGTGTCAGAAAATAAAGGTCGTATGAAACGCTCCCACAGTTTTATTTGAAAGTTTACCGAGAAGTTTACTTTAAAACCTCAATCAATGAACTAAACAACACTAATTTGATATGTTGTCAAAGTTTTGCATGGGCCAAGGTCTATAAGTATGATGTGGTTAGAGCACATTCAAACCCCTGATTATTTTCAACGGCTGTCAAATGAGAGCAAAGGTAACGGCACCTAGTGCAAACCAAAACAAATGACCAAGTTAGAATATGTGCTGACTTCACTGAACTCAATATATTTTTTTTTAACAGAAAAACTTATTTTATTTACAATCATACATGTAATGTTGACTTTACTGACTTTTAAAAAGTTCGAAAATGTCACTTTTTTGACTTTTACTTTCGACCCGTGGGTCGAAAGTGAATGAAATTTTTAAAATTTATTGTATTTTTTGACTTTTACTTTCGGCCCACTGGCACAAATAGGAAATGCAAGAGTATTTTCAAAATTAGATTGTGTATCACTGCCTTTTAAACACTTTTTGGAAAGTAAATTTACAAGAGAATCCCTTTTGGAATTACTTTAGCTCCAGAAATTTTTCAGAGTACAATGAATAGACTTTTCAATAACCATGAAGGGGGAGTACACATTGATGACATTACAGTTTTTGGAGAAAATGTTGGATAGTGTGATTAAAAAGAGTGCTTAAAATGTTACGAGACAATGGATTTACACGAGTCAAAATGTCAGATAGGCATTTCGGAAGTGAAATTACTTGGACACATTATCGGACAATCGGGCAAAAGAATGGACAGTGACAATATAAAGGCTATATTAGACTTTGAAGAACCCAAAACAATGACAAATGTGAGGAGGCAGTTTCTTGGTATAATAAATCATCTTACAAAATTTCCTAAAAACATTGCAGATGAGACAAAACCTCTACGCGTAATTTTAAAACGTAACAATACTTTTCAGTTTAATGATATCCATCAACAGTGTTTTATAGTTATTTATGTATCAAGGGAATTATGAGGGTGGTAATACCCCAGGGCAAAGTTTGTGTCCCTCGGGCCTTCGGCCCGAGGGACACCAATTGCCCGTGGGTATTAACACCTAATAATTCCCGTGGTACATAGATAATTTTATTTTCTACTGAATTTACTGTATTTTGTCCATTTTGATAAAGAAATAAACCATAAACCAAAATTTTTATTATTTGTCAAAGTTTCAGCTATTCAAGGTAAAAGGGGGAGTTATGAAAATCCTTAACTCCCTTGGGAGTTATGATATTCTTAACTCCCGCGCGGGAGTTATGTAATCCTCAACTCCCTTGGGAATTAAGACCCTGTTTATGATTATCGTAACCAAGGTATTATATGGTTATAATAGTTCAGTAGGAAATAAATAAATTAAAAATACTTGTCACAAGTGTACCAGTTTTGAAGGCTTCTTATGATGTTACTAAAGAAACAAAAATTCTCGCAGACTCGAGTTCTTCCGGAATAGGTGGCTGTTTAGAACAATAACAAATCAGATGGGAGATGGGCTCCTGTTATTTATTGTTCAAAAAGTTTAAGTGACACACAACAACGCTATGCCCAAATTGAAAAGGAAGCATATGCTATTTTATGGGTATGTGAAAGACTGGAAGAGTACCTAATAAGTAAATCATTTACTATACAAACTGATCATTTACTACTTTTGAGTATCCTGAAGAAGAAATCTATAAATGATTTGAGTGTGAGATTGCAACAATTTAGACTTAGATTAACTAGATTTAAATTTGAGATTGAACATGTCGCTGGAAAAAAATTCTATGTACCAAGTATATTATTGTCAACTACTTAAGTAAATACCACTCTGTACATCAATTTTACTAAAGTGTGTCGACGAGTCAGCATTTATTTGGTATAAATACCGCGCCGAAATCCATTACCGGCAGACTAAGGCTAGTGTAAAGTACCTCAAATGGGAAAAGCCCCTCTAGCTAAGTCTCCTCCCAGTGCAAACTACCTTTAATGGGAAACACCCTTCTGGGAGTATTGAACGCTGCAGACTAGGTCCAGTGAACTACCTTTAATGGAAAACGCCCTTCTGGACCTGTCTCAAACCCAGCTTCAGTCTTCAGTCACGCCAAGTGTACAGAGTGTACATAATACAGAGTGGCCTATAAGTAGTACGTCCCTCCGTAGAAGAGACGTCATGATACTATTTCTAGGGTAATATTATTATTATTCAATACATTATCTTATATACCTATACCAAGCGAGTTTCTCTCTACCTGAACCTCACCTATGCCCCCAAGTCACACTTCTGTTGTGATGTCCCAGGACGAAACGTATAGGGGTTGTGACATTATCAAGACAGCCATTGAAACGGATAGATAATGGAAAAGATGTATTGAAAGAAGAAGTTTGATGCTATATAAATGGTATAAGGAAAGAAACTGAAGATAACTTGAAATTAAAACACACCAAATGGTTGAAAAAGCACAGCAAGAAGAGTTTCAA